TAACTCACACGTAGAATGGAGCTCTTAACAACAATCTACAGTAGGATTTACTTACTGGTTGGTCAGCTGCGATGTACTTACAATGGTGTATGTAAACTGGAAGGTGATCTTGCAGACGCGATGGTGCGGACTGACCATGTTTCATCATCACAATGTAGTTCTTGCTTGAAGAACTGAAGTTCTTTCTGATTGACAACTCATGCATTTCCTGTACTAACCAACAAACTGGAAGAAGTTCATATACAAATTTGATCGACAATCATGTACACTGGAGACTGGACACCCTATCGCCACATCAAGAAGTTTAATTCAGTATAAATCGGTAAAAAGCTTGATCGAACCAACCGTTATAGAAATGCTCTCATGTATCACCCGGCAAGTTTACTCTCTACACTATATCTTAGCTATTACTTCAGGTAATCAGTACCCAAGCAGAGTAAAAAATTGGTGGGGTGGTAAATCCAAATTCAAAACTGATGCATTATAGTGGTAGAGATATTGATATACACATAAGACAGAACAGGAGACTGCAATGATCAAGTAGTGCTGTAGTTTTGTAGCACAAAAAGAAGTGAACAATCCGGTGATCCAAGTCTGAAGCCAGAGGCTCAATACAGAACTTAAGAAATTAGAACAGTAAGATATAGTGGATTATTAGGTTCAGTCACACAGGTCTGAGAATACAGGGAGTAGACAGATCAAATGCAAAGAACTTTGAAGCTCCCCTCCAGCTGATTTTCCAACTGCATACCAATAGAGTTTAGGCTCTGTGGCCTGTGCGGCCTGTGCTTGTGACGAGGCAAAGGAAGGAAGATGATGTAAGAAGAACAAACCTCAACACACGAACGGGGCAGAGGAAGCAATCCATCGCCGCAAACAGAACGAAACCACAGGCGACCGAGAGGTTAGGGGTTCAGTGAGATCCAAACGGTAATTCACTGCATATGAAGAAAGTAACATTTTGTCAACACTATTTGGTCTAAACTCTGAAGTGATTCAGTAACAAAGAATATGCTAATGGCGCACTACCAAAATCTCTTATACCACTTGGATATTACAAGGAATAACCAGTGGTTGTAGTACAGACTTCACAGAAAATGGCAATATGGGCATATGCATCCAAACGACCATTGTTAGAAAGAAGCATATATACACATGCAAGCGGGCAAACGACGTACAAACAATTGCATGGATACACACGGACAGAGACGGAAAAAAGGTAACGACCTGATCCCATGGCAGCATTTCTGTCATCTGTGTCGTCTAAAGAAACGAGCGGGACTGCAGCAGCTAGCTCACTGGAAAAAGAATAGTCACATCCAACTTAGATATAAGCACAGACGACACACGTGGACAGAAGAAGATCAAGGGCTAGAAGAATCACCAACCTGTAAACCCAGGCAGCAAGTTGCAGCAAGATCATTACCTGCAAGTAAGAAACTGGAGCACCAGAGCACCCAGATTAGTAGAAAATCCAAGAGAAAGGAACTAAAATAATGAGCTCCAGAGAACAACGGTCAAGAAAAAATCAGTCTAGTTACTGGACGTTACTTTGCGTAAATTATTAGAACTGAAGAAATGGAAATAAATCTTCAGGATGTTCAATATATCATGTATGCCTCAAATAGTATAATAATGTAGAAGTAACTACAACCGAGAGGAGCACAACACAAACCATAGGATAGAAGATGAGCTGCGACCAATCATCCAAAACCATGGACATCATAAGTCAAATTAGTAGAAGCAGGACTCAAAATATGCAAATCCAAGTGTATCTGTGGTAGAAAGTAGGGCATAAAAAATAACACTATGATTCCATGATGTTCCCACCTAGAGCAATGAATCACACATAGTTTGGGGAAAATTATCCCATCTAGGAGACATCAGCCATAAATACTTGCTGATTGATGCTGTTCCAATTCATAATACGAATGCATGCCTCATAAATATCTGTAGGTCATCATCTCAAAAAAGTACCTTTGGGTGGTAATACCCAGGGGATCCTTCATGGACAAGTGGAAGTCAAAACTACAAACAATTCAGAATATCTAGACGCAGTTTAAGGAAGAAGAGAGAGACGGAGTCTACCGTTTATTCACTGTAATCTATATATCCTCTAAAATGATCTGCATTATAAGGCTGCTTTAAAACTGAAGGAAGAAGCAATTAAGATGAAAATGCATTAGAACCATTTTGACCCAATTGATGCATCAAGTAGTGTTCAGACTTCAGAGAACGCGGAAAATGAATATATAAGCATCTAAAAGTTAGGATCTAAACGCTCTTCTATTTCTTTACAGAGGGAGTATATACCAATGAAAAAGGAATCCGTTCTTCTCTGTGGGAGAAAAAAAAGCTCTGCCGTTTCAGCAGCAGAGTCACCCCTTTCCTGCTGCACCGAAATAGACCAAGAGCTTCTGAAGAGAAGGGAATGGCAGAGTTAGGATCTCTGTCTCTCTATGGCGAGGCATTTCATCGAGCAGAGAGATATGGAAGTCCAGCACACAATATATCAAGTCACAAGTGATTGATCGCCGTAATTAGATATGAAAGCATGAATTCTGTGTTGTTCAAATTGGATAAGCACATGAAGTAAATAAAATGTTGGTAAATCATTCTTTGGTTCTATACCTGCTGACTGTCACAGATGTTGGATCATGTAATAGTCCAGATGACTGTCAAAGATGAGTACCTGCTATCCAGAATCATCAATAAGCTACTATTAAAAGGGTGCATTATTGAAGACAGACCAACACGTGAATGGTAGTATCAGACTCGCACAAAATTGTTGCATACCAGATGGATTACAAAAGATGAAAAGAAAAACAGTTCCACATAACTTTTACCACAAAGGTTTCAGCTACTAAAATCTGAAGAAACTACCTCCAGAAATTCCCCCTCGCCCCCGTATTACACCCAGCAGTATAATCTCAAGTGCAATCTCCTAATACAAAACAGAAGCAGATTCGACAGTAATCATATTAACCAGCTTAACTATGCATGGAACATGCAGCTTGGTCTCAATTCAAGAGATTGGCATTCAACTGACAAGCATCAACTTCAGGAAAAACAACTACAGCCTTAGACCCTTGCCCTGGATCTCTTCATCTTATCACCACTTGATTTCTTCCCCCTGCTCTTCTTCTCTTCCTTGTCAGCTATAAGGGCAGCAGGAGTGCTTTCCCCATCAAAAAGGATTTCACCATCATCAGAATCACCCTTCAGGCTCTTCTTCTTCTTCCCTTTATTCTTCTTGCTGCCAACATCCTCCACCTCCTTGGGTGCTTGCTTGTCCTTACTTTTCTTGTTGCTGGCTTCCTTCGATGCATGCTCACTCTTCTTACCCTTCTTTTCTGCAGGACTGGCATCATCCTCCACCTCCTTGTCCAATGCACGCTTCTTATCCTTGCCCTTTTTTGGGGTCTTCAGGTCTTCACCAGCAGAAAGCTCCTCAACCGACTCCTTCTTCCTCCTCTTCTCAGTCGCCTCTGGGGCTTCTTCCATCACAGCATCTTCAGTCTGATCCTTCTTGTTCCTTTTCCTCTTGTACTTCAAACCTTCAGCTCCACCATTGGCATCTTTCAGCACCTTCATCTTCTTGTCCTTGCGCTTGCTGCCAGTCCCAACTTCTGCAGCATCGATGACCTCTCCGGCACCAACTCCTGCTTCCAAACGCGCAACCGGAGCCTCAATCTTCATGCCCAACTCCGGCACAACCTGGTAAATTGGCAGGGCAACCGAATCCACAGCCTTCAAATGCAGAGCCCTCACGTTTTCCCACTTCTTGGGCACCTTCTCCACGGCGGCCTCCACTGCCGCCATCACATTGTCAACAATCTCCTCCTCCTCCATGTCCAGCCTGCCCACCTTGATCCCCGAGCAGGTCCCGGTCCGCAGGTACAGGAAAGTGGAGCTGAGGACCTTGCGGACCTGCTCCGGCCACCCGGCGCGGGTGAAGTCGACGGCGATGGGGGCCTTCTTGGTGGAGTAGAAGGACTTGCCGAGGAGGCGGGGCAGCATGGGGAGCAGGGCGCGGTCGGCGAGGAAGAGGTCGTAGGAGGCGGCGAAGCGGCGGCGCGACTCGTAGGGGCGGTAGTCGGTGCGCAGGGCGGAGAAGGGGACGACCTCCGAGACGGGCAGCTTGAGGGACCTGGCGGCGTCGAGGATGGCGGCGGCGGCGGGGGAGCCGGAGCCGGCGCGGTCGTCGGAGATGACGCAGACGGAGGCGGCCGAGTGGGCGACGACGGGGTGCGGGAGCGGGAGCAGGTGCGGCTTGGTGGTGGGCTTGGGCGGGACGCGGCGGAGCGAGAGCTGGAGCACGACGAGGTCGTCGCGCTCGTCGGCGAGCAGGTTCGGCGGCGCCTCGGCCGCGCGCTCCCGCATCCACTTGGTGAGGGACGCCACGGCGCTGGCCGCCGTCGCGCGCGGCACCTCGTGCGCCGCCTTGTCCTTCAGCTGCGGCTGCGGCGGCGGCGACATGGCAGCGGCGGTTTAGGGTTTAGAGTGGCGGCGGGAGAAAGACGAGAGGAGGACGGGAGGAGCCGGGCTGCGATGCGAGACCTTATTATATGTGAGACGAGACTGCACCTTACGCGGCCCATCCTGCGGGAATGGCCCAGCCCAATTGCCCAAAGGTCGTTCGGACGTACCATTAGCTAGCCCAGCCCATTTTGTTAGCCCCCTTTCCGATCGAGAAGCCTCTCGCTCTCCTCCTTCGCTGGCCGGCTTCATCCATCCGCCCGCGCCCGCGCCGTCCCTCGCTCCGGCGTGAAGAGTTCTCAAGGGAACCGCGCAGACTCCACCATTGTGAGTGTCTCATCTCCTGGCGTCATGAGCTTTGGTGGGCGAATCTGTGCATGGCATTGGGCTCGCACCTGACCTGTTCGATGAAATGCGCATGATGTCTGCACCTTGCTTGACTTGTGCCGCCTTGTGTCACCTGCAGTGTTGGTGCTTTGCAAGCGCCGGCATCAACATCTGGATCCTCAAGTGCTTGGGAAATGAGTGCGGGTGAGGACGCGTCTTTCCGATTCATCTCCTATGCAATGCTCATGTCATGCATGTAGTAGGTTCATGCTCACTCTTGTTACATTTAGATATCTGGCGTTGGCCGGCAACTCTGTGCTCCGTCAGCGTGTTACCCGTCATCTACCCCATCACTAACTTGACATCATAGATCGTATACCAGCCGCTGCATAACCTTGTGACTTCTCACAGGCGGCGCGTTTGGTGGAAACAGGGGAGCGAGGCCTGTACCTCCTGAAAAAGGTGTATTCCCCCTCGATCACTTGCATGAGTGCGACCTGGTAAGTTGCGATCACTCTTGTTTTTCTCGTAGGGGTGTAATGTTTAGCAAGTGTTATATGAGAGTTGCCTGTTCAAACAGGAGAAGAAGGACTATCTTGCTTGCCTGAAGTCTACTGGAGCTCAGTCTGAAAAATGTCGGATGTTCTCGAAGAAATACTTGGAATGTAGGATGGAGAGGTTACCATGCTTATCCCTCTATACTAATTTCAGAACTACTGTACTGTAGTGATGTAGCTGACTCAACCTGTTTTTATTTCGCACATCCACCAATTTATGTGTAATGATTTAGGGTGCACTTGCCTCGAAAGCAAACTTAATATTGACCTCACCAGGCAAGGACAGGTGTTTGGTACTTCAACAAAAAATTAACTTTGCCAAGCAAGCTAGCATGGGCAAGAAAATCTTGCCACAGTAGAAATACAGTTTATTTATTGCCGCAACATCATGTCCTGAACCGTTTTTAGTAGTTGAGTGAGGAAACAGTTTATTGCTTCATTAGCCTACAGCAAACCAAGCCTGGACTCCTTACATGTTTGGTTATTTGCCTCCTCTGGCGCAACACATGTGTAATGTGCTATATCCAGGTTTGTCTACTTGTTTTAGCCTTCTAGGAGATGTTTAGTGCTTGCAGTAGTCGATATTTCTTATGAATGTTATAAGCTGAAGTTCTGACTTGCATTGTGAAGGGTTCTTGCCAACTTTGACATCTGAAATTCACTGTTCAGGCTCATAAGCAAGATGCTTTTCATTTTTCATTTTTAGTTTGATGCTGCTCTATCTAGTAGGATTTCTAATCACGATATTCTTTTGCAATCCAGGAACCTGATGGCAAAGCAGGATATGTCGGAGCTTGGGTTCAGTAACACAGACGTTGTGGTTACACCTTCCGAGAAGAACAGCAAACTGGAGAGCCCAACAAGTGATTCAAAAGAGAAGAAATAGCTGTTCAATTTGCAAGTTCCTTATCTGACGGTTAACATCATTCGGTACTTCAACACAAGTTTTGGGAAGCACTGCCTCCAGAAATTAAGGAGTACCTCCATCTTAAGGGCAAAATGGTAACCATGAGAGTATGTAATTCCTTGGATTAAGATTAAACAAAAAAGAAAAATAACTTACTTACTAGTGTTGCTGAACCTAATAATCATGAGTTGCGGAGGTGACCAGACCACCGACAGGCTCGAGAGCGTTCCTAAAATCAGCACCTTCCGTTCATGGTTGATTGTTTTTTTTAAGAAATATCTAAATTTCCTATGGCATGTATTTTCATCGGCATAATAAAGTCTGGTAGAAACTGATGGTAACCCCTAAACAATGACACGATAATACGGCAGGCCACCATGCCTCTTCATGGTGGCTGGTACTGGAATTGATGTGCTAACTGCTTATAATTTTGTATCGAGGAAACATGTTATCCGTGGTCTCTCTGCAGTTATTTTTTGACCCCGTCGGTCCGATGCTTTTCCTTGCTCCTGTAAATCTGTTTCAGCCACATTCGATGATATTTCCATTTTGGGGGTGAAAATATCTGTCGTGTTTTTTTATATCTTGGCGAAAATCAAATCTCCTAGCTGTACCAAATAATATTTCCATTTATTGGGTTTGGACTTGTGTACTCTATCAGAACTAGAGTATAAATACCACCAGATTTCATAAGGAGCAGCTCAATGATCCAACCATTAGTCAATACTCTACATCCTTCTCAATGATCCAACCATTAATCAATACTTGTCATTTAGTAGCATAGTTTTCTAATCCGGAAGGTTGTAAGTGACAGATTAAAAATGAGCACGTTGGTTAAGCCCAAGTTTACTGCCAGCAAGGCACAAGCTTCATTTACAGAGGAAGCACACCACACCCAAAACACAAAGTAGCACAAACAAATTCACTTCACTTTATTTACAGAGGAAGCATGTTGATCGTTTTGCTGCACCTGACTGGGCTGATTAGTTCCATGCAGCATGCAGCAAGATCACAATCACTCTGACAGTCGAAATTAACCTACTGTCTGTACAGAAACTAAATGTTGGTTACTGCTCTTGCTACCTCATCTGACAGACGCACCGATCATTGTCAGATCAAGCCACACCAGATAAGCTCCAGATCAGAGCTGTCCCAGAGCTAGGATTTGCACATGCAGATCTAAGTAATGCAGAACGATACTTTTTTAGAGAAAAGGCCTTGGCCCGACTTTATAAATAAAGCCACATGGCAGCGTCACAGACCCGAATAACCCAAACAGTTAGCGAAACACCGCGAATTCAGCGAACGAAAGCCTGGAGCAGGCGAAAGAAGTTTCAGAACGATACATGGCACCCAGCCATACCCGGCGCGCAGGCCGGAAGGGGAAAGGAGACTACCACCAAAGAGACAGAACCACCGCAGCAAAGATCATCCGTTTGGGCCCAGCCCTGAGAAGAAGGATGCCGAAGCCCGAATTTTGGCGATGAGCACGTCCAGGGCATCCCGATCGTCTTCTTTAGTCAATAATCTCCACTGCTGCAATATAATACAAGATTTGAAAAGAACGTCAGCAGGTTTAGATGGAAAGATATGTTCAATAGTAAATTTGTTCCTAATAGTCCAAAGAGCCCAACATAAGGCACCCAATCCAACCCAGAACACCCTCTTGGTGACCCCAACCAGAACCTTGGCTAGGGTCCTAAGCTCAGAGAAGGACGAGGGATTCCAAGAGACCTGAAGCCATGAACTGACACAGCTCCAAACGAACTTAGCCAGGACACAATGGAAAAAAATATGATCCGTGTTTTCCAAAGCACCACAGAGGTGACAAAATTCCTATCCCGGACCATTGCGCTTGTGAATCTGGTCAGCCGCAGGAAGCTGGCCTCTGAAAGCTTGCCAAAGAAATATCTTAATCTTAGGAGGCACTTTGGACTTCCAGATATTAGAGAATCTATTCGAGGGGGTACCTCCGATTAGCCTAGAGTAAAGTGACTTGACCGAAAATCTGCCAGAAGACGAATGAGGCCAAACAACAGAATCCGGAGCCTCCGAGAGCACAAGGAAGAGGGCAGAAAGACTTTGCCAATCCTCCAACTCTTCAGAAGACAGGGAGCGGCGAAAAGTCAGGTCCCAATTATTATCCGCCACCTCCGCGATGGAGATGTCCGGCTTAGGACAGTAAGAAAACAAAACCGGGAACTGAGCAGCCAGAGGAGCATCCCCACACCATCAATCCCGCCAAAAACGAACAGACCTACCATTGCCCATGATAAATTTAACATGCTCCAAAAAAATTGGTCTGACTTTGACAAGGTTCTTCCAGAATTGAGACCCTCGTCTAGCAGAAGCAAACAAGGGGCTAGATTGAGGGAAATACTTGGCCTTGATGATAGAGTACCAAAGAGAATCAGCCCCAGTAGTCATAATTTTCCACCACCACTTAATTAATAAGCATTTGTTCATCACCAACGTATTAATAATGCCTAACCCCCCAAGGTTCTTAGGCCGACACATAAGCTGCCACTTGACTAGTCTATATTTCCGCTTATTATCCGCCGCATTCCAATAAAATGCACCTCTGTGTTTGTCAAAGCCAGCGTGAGTGCCAGCCGATAGGAGATAAAAGCCCATAAGGAACATAGGAAGGGATGAAAGACAAGAGTTGATTAAGGCCACCTTGTCAGCGTTAGTATTGTATCTGCCGCGCCAAGGAAGGACCCTGTTCCCCACTTTAGCGACAGCCGGGGCAAAGTCCTTAGCAAGAAGTTTAAGAGGGGAAATTGGGAGGCCCAAATATTTGAATGGAAAGGAACCTAAAGAGCAGTTAAGAAGCCTGGCCACACGCAAGGCTTCCGCATCATCAACACCAGTAACTAGAACCTCACTCTTGGAGAAGTTAATCTTCAAGCCAGGGACCACTTCAAAGCAAAGAAGGATGAATTTCAAATTGGCAATACACGCATCATCCAGGTCAACCATAATGATCGTATCGTCGGCATACTGAAGGTGAGAAACCCCTTCCGGAATTAGATGAGAGACCACTGGACTTATGTGACCACATTGAGCCGCCCTCGTGAGGATACAGGAAAAGGCATCGGCCACAAAGTTAAAAAGAACAGGGGAAGCAGGATCCCCTTGACGAAGACCCCTGCCATTGGCAAAAAAATTACTAATATGCCCATTCACCGACACGGCAGTGTGGCCCTCAGTGACCAACTGCATGATACAATGCACGTAAGCTCCATCAAAACCTTTCGTGAGCAGGACCTGCTTCAGAAAAGACCAACTGACCGAGTCCTATGCTTTCTCAAAATCTAACTTAAGAATAATCGCTTTAGAGCTCCGAGAGTGCAGGTCATGCACAATTTCGTGCAAGGAAAGAATACCATCTAAAATAAAACGACCCTTAATGAAAGCAGATTGGAAGGGGCTAATAACTCTATGAGCAACAGGAGAAAGGCGGTTAGCAAAGCCCTTAGCCGGGTATTTGGCAAAATTATTAATCAGAGCAATAGGACGAAATTGAGAGATTAAATCAGCCCCCTTGACCTTGGGAATCAGAGTAATGACGGCGTAGTTCAAGCGGGAAATATCGATATAACCAAGGTAAAAGCCCTGTATGACACTACAAACCAGCTGCTTTAACTGAGGCCAGAATTTTCGGAAGAAAGGGAGAGAAAAGCCGTCAGGCCCGGAGGCCACATTCGGGTTAGCAGAGTTAACAATGTCCCAGATTTCCTGATCAGATAGGGGGATCATCAACGAGGCGTTGTCCTCGGCCAAAACTTTTAAACCCATGTTCCAGAGAGAAGGGGAGATCGAGAAGCCCGAAGGAGGTTTCGCCCCAAGCAAAGAAGAGAAGAAGTCCCGCACGTGATCCATAATAACAAATTGGTCTGAAGACCGCGCACCATTGATGATGAGATTGTTGATGCCACAACGCCTCCTCCGACCGTTCGCTATGGCAAAAAAAATAGGCAGTGGGGGAATCGCCTTTAAGCGTCCAATTGAGCGTACCCCGCTGACGCCAATACACCTCAGCCTGATGGTGCAACTGCAGTAAGGCAGCCTCGAGGTTATACCTCACAGACCACCCATCCTCGGATAGTCCAGCAGAGTCGGCAGTCAAGTCTAGGGCCGAGATTTGGGTCTCGAGAAACTCTTTGGAGCGGCGCTCCTCCGCCACGCGATTTCGAGACCAGCCTCTAAGAAACTTACGCATATTGTAGGAGCAAGAGTGCCAATCATCCAGAGGACCGAAAGAGCGCGAATTAGAGGAGAGCGGGTGGGATATCTTCACGGCTAACATATCACAAAAATCATCAACGAGAAGCCAAGAGGCATCAAATTGAAATCTGGCCGGGGGTCTAAGGTTAACAGAGCCATCGTAAACAATTAGAGGGGTATGGTCAGAACCACAATACATTTGGCACCAAGGGAAGCCCTAGGAAAGAGGGAGTCCCACCTAGGACATATGAAAACTCTATCCAGAACAGATCTAATAGGGATAGCCTGGTGATTGGACCAAGTAAAGCGGGCTCCAACCCGGGGAAGTTCACGAATAGCATTGGAGCTAATAAACTCGTTAAAAGCATTCGCCAAAGGCCAAGAGAAAATATCGTTGCTTTTATCAGAAGGGTAGCGAAGGAGATTAAAATCACCTCCGATAACCATCGGGAGGTTACAGGATTCGATCTTCACAAAAAGTTCGTTAAGAAACAAAGAAGCAATAGAGTGGTCAGCAGGCCCATATACCACGATTACCTCCATGAGTGTATTCAGCGCTTTAAGACAGAGTACAGCACTAACCCAAAAGATCCCATGGTCATAGGCAACAACATAAAAAATGTCCTTATTTGAACCTATCAAGATCCCACCCGAGTGGCCCGAGGAAGGTAAGACATGCCAGTCAAATCTATCCATACCCACGATAGCAGAAAGTTCATTAGGGGAAAAGGATTCCTTAAAAGTTTCAG